ATCTGTGCCTCTTGACACAGGTTAATTCAGTTCAAGACTCATCCTATCTATAACATCCTATCTTTGTGAAGCGGGATTTTCTGCGGTTACAGCGACCAAAACAAAGCTACGGAGCAGACTGGACATCAGGAGCACACTTCGTCTGTCATTGTTGTTTTATTTTTATGCTGTTTGTATTTGATTTTATGTCAGTCGTATCATTTTACTTGTTCGTAAAATCCCTTCTACCCCCACCCCCCGGTCGGTCTGTGAAAATTTTGTCTGACATATAGCGGTCTGTGGCGCAAAAAAAGGTTGGGGACCGCTGCTCTACAGGACCCTTTGCTGTGCCTTGACGCACGTCCACCATTAACTTTGCATGTAAACCAGCTGCTCTGCTGCCACTGCTGCTTGCGGTCTGAACGTTGCATAAGAGAAAACCTTAGATGTATGGCATTCTTAGCAGTTGTCTGTCCATTGTATATCTTTTTACAAAAACAGACAACTATGATTATCAATATAACAGAAATAATTAACTGAACAAGTGAAGTAAAGTAACTGAAAGGAATTTTGCTCATGTAAATATTGGTAATGGAACATAATGCATCCCTTCAATCAATACATTCAGGGTTTCCAGTGTATATTTCTCTAAAAAATGTGCTTTTATTTGTCTCTTTCAGGCAGAGCTACGTGGTGTTCCCCATTTCTTAATGTCCTCCCAATGCTCCTCTTGGGTCTCCTCCTTCTGAACCTCTGAATGTAGCGTCATCTTGGTCTTCTCTTAGTTGTGATGAAGACTGCTTGTGATTGATGAAGGTTCCCACCTACAACGATCTGAGACCCTTTCCACAATATTATAATCCAGTGTCACTTTCCAGCTCTTCCCCTGTGGGATGTGTTTGTGGAAAACAGACATGGACATGGAAAACAATTGGAAAATGGACAAAGGCTTTCCTTATTTATCCACTAAAGGCCTCTCAGAAGGAATCTCAAAGGAGTTCTGTCAACTTGAAATGCCTTACATAAACGATTGCTCTTATCTTTCACAGTGACTTGTTTCCAAATGGGTCAGTAAAAAAATTGTAAATCTTACAGTTTTGCATAGGTTGCCTGCTCAGTTTTTTTTTATTTTTTACATCTCAAACCAGACATTTCTGATATCCAAATGCTGCATTGTATCACTTCTTTTTAACTTGGATGTTTTCTAAAAACATGTTTCTTCAGTGCATTCCCTTATAGAAGGTTAACAATAGCTGTGAAAGGCAAGTGTATGAGTTTCAAAATTTCAACTTTGTCTTTTTTTTTTTTTTTTATCAGTGGCTTTTTTAAATGATCTTGCTGTCTTACAGGGATACAGTCAAAGCAAATTTCAGCAGCTTACATAATGGATTTTATTCAGAAAAAGTACAATTTATTACATGCTGAATTAATATATTCACTGATTAATATTGCATTGTTATGCTTAATTTACTTTCCTCTCCTGATAATATATGAAGTTTATAGCTTCTGTTATAGTCCAGAACATACAGTAAGCTCTGGTCATTCCTAAGTTTGGACATTGATGGAAGAACATCAGATAAATATATTTGGGGAGTTAAACGTGTGTTTTTTTCCCCAGAAGCAAGAAACACATTTAAATCTATAGTTTTAAACATTGATTACTTCCATCTGTGGTCAAACTGTGCAGAGATCCCACCTTTTCCACAAAAATTGGCTAATGTAAAACTTAAAAAACGAAACAAAATGGTAACTAATGAGCCTTCTTTGTTTTGACTGTATCATTAGATCCTCAGTGGTGCCAGTCGGTGCTTTGTAAAGAATGTTACCATTTCATTTAATTAGTGATTTCATTTCATGATGCTCGTTGTCGGCTAATAATGGTAAAAGTGAAACAGTGGCGCACCTCACAGCCTCCTGTAAATGTGCAATGTATGATTGAGCTGTGGCAACTTCATGCTATCTAACAGGACTATTTGCTGAGCTTCTGTAACAGGAGTTATATTTAATGCATTTTTTCTTTATCTGAAATAAGCAAAAGGTAAGCAAAGCCATCTTTATCAGCGGTAGGAGCTCAGCAGAAGCTCATGTCGTTGTTTCAAATGCATTAGTTTAGTCTTTTTATTAACCTAAGATCAGAGTTTTATGGACATTATCACTTGTCATTTTTTTATGGTTATATTTGTACATTTCTACCCGAGTCTAGTTGGTCAAATTTTAAAGTTTATGTCCCTCAAATGAAGGAACAAATGCTGCGTTTTGAGTTCCTCTGAATCATTTTGTTGTATGATTGATGCTGGTTATGCTTTTACGTTGTGACAGCATCAGCGTCCACCACAAAGTGCTTTTCCTGGTTTCATCTTCATGCCACAATTCATTGAAGTAAAAATTGCCAAATGCATGAATGCCTTGAACTTTGACGTTGCGAACAGGGCTGTCGCTCTACATAATACCATGCATGAGATTGGAGAAAACATACCAACATTGTGGAAACTTCTGAGACTATTGTAAAACACATTCCAATCCTGAGTGGCATCCCCTTTAGGTCAGAGAGACTAGAGATATTAGACTAATATGTGCATTAGCTGCTAAGCTTCAATAAGTCAGTCATCTCAATAGATGCCCTTAGGAGAAGTCTTTTATTAAAGGGAAAAATGTAAACTGACTGAAGGCATTTCACTTTGCTGATAAAAACTGTCCTGCTGTCTCGTTCACACCTGATGCTTGGGGTTTGGTTGCATCATTGGTGATACTGGCAGCATGTGTGGCTTTCTGCTGGAAATCAGTACTTTGATGTAAACGGATATATACCAGGGATGAATCTGAAAGCTCTCTATGACTGGACAAGAAACAATAAAGGTGTAGTTAACTAGGAGTTTGCACTGTGGTTCTTGTGTCTTTGGATTCATCAATAAAAATCAAATTTCTTTGAAGTTTATAAAGAAACATTTTTCTACATGTTTTTTGAAGCAGTCACTGATAGAATTGTTGTAAAGGAGAATACGCTGAGAGATAAATGGCAGTAAAACACCTCTTTAATTCTCTATTTTGAAAAAAAAAGAGTTAGACATACATTTCAGGGGATATGTTTCATGATGCTTAAGAGTCACTTTAGCAGTAAGCAAGATTTACTTATATAACTATAAACTGGAATCTCTATCCTCTACAGAATATATATCCTTAAATAAAAACATATATGTTCTGGCATTTCCTCAAGGCTGCCAGCATTTCTAAATCGCTGTGAAACTGAAAGATCAAATGAATGAAACAGTGACTTTTCTGTACTTTACTTTAGGACTCATGCTTGCTATCCTGCAGCCTTAATAAACTACAGACATGTCTGAACATGTTTGAGTGATGTTTGAAAGGAAAGTGGTGCCTCATTGATCCTAAAGGTTTCTGACAATCCCGGCAAGAAAATATATAAATGGATATTTTCAGTTTAAGCAAGCAAACTTTAAAAAAAATTCTATCCAGAGATTTACTCAAGTTATATATATATATATATATATATATATATATATATATATATATATATATATATATATATTTCAAGTACCGCATTCAATTTGTAAAGTTTGTCTTTATATTCATAACAGGTAAACTGTTTTTGATCATCTCAGTATAAAATGCAAAACAGTAAACAAGGAAAAGATCCAACTAAAAGACAAACTGTTCAGATCAGAATAACGATTCAAAATAAAAAAAAGATCCATAATGTCGCCTTTTTATTTGTGTAGCACAAATATATGTGGGTCCTGTGTCTGAAAAAAATTACAAAAAATAAAACACAGGTTTATGATACTAATGTGGCAAAATGTGAAATTTTAAAAGCTACCTTTTTTGCAATGCTCCTTTATAATCATAAACAGTATTTCAGTGTGTTCTCAATTACAGAAAATCCCAATTTAAGATTGTGAATAAGCTTTGAGAGTTTTGTCTTATTAAGTGTCATTTAGATGAAAGGTAAGTTGATAATGCGTATCTCTCAGGATTAAGTCAGCACACAAGCGTCTGATTTAGATCTGTAATTAAAGCCACTGCAGTCAGTGAAATCAGCTGACAAAATGAACAAAACATGGGCTCAACATTTTTTTCTACTATAATTTTAAATCTTATCAGTACAAACATATGGCCCGTGTGATAAGCCCATTCCTAGTTGCTGTGTGTAATATGTTTTTTCTCTCTGAAGTAATGAATGTATGTGTCCAAAAACCCTACAGTTGAAAGTCCACATGCTCTCTGATAAACCATCTTTTTGTCAAGTTGTACAGCTTTCTTTTAAAGAGTTATTCAGTTGATGAAATGTTCCAGATGTATCTAAAATAAACAATCTGTTTTTGTAGATATGTGCCTCAACAGATTGAAATATACTTTTTGAATATTCACACCTGTTCTCTGAAAACACAGAACTTTTAACAAGTGCACAGAGAGGACCATGACCAGAGTGGGAGCTGAAATGTGACCCTGTCTGTCTCTGATGCCTGTAGCATCTCATATAATTTGAAATGGCCTGACTGGGTTGGAAACAGGGAAAATCTTTGAGACGTAAAGTCTCTAAGGCAGACATAATGTTATGGCAAAGATCTAGTCACTGAGACACATTTTCTACAAATGCAAAACAGAAATTGTAAAAAGTAGAAGGAGAAATTATCTAACAACAGTAGCAAGTATAAGAAGGGTTAAAATAGGTTAACGGGTTTGTCTTTATTTAAATAAATATTTAAGAGAATGGGCGACCTCTGGTGGAGAAGATTAATAGTAAACATGAAATCACCCAAAAAAAACAAAACAAAACAAAAAACAATAATACAAATAAAAGACTCGGATAGAGGAAGATATAACATTTTGGAGATAGTTTGTTGGACGTTGAAAATTACAAACTTTAGATTAGTTTTATTAACTTATGGGTCATTATATGTAATCACAGAAACAGAAATGCACTTTTCTTTTATATATCCCTGAACAGTATGGAATACCATTACTTTCACAAGTATTTGACATGTACATATGTTTATATGTACCTTGTCCCCAGCATGTCTATGTTTTAAAGGGTTTGCATAGTTTAAAGTATGTTGCATCTTTTCCTACATAGGTCTACATGTGGAAAAAAATTTAACTTTGGCCCTGATTTTCATAATTTCCAGTCTTAGGTTTTAACAATCAGATAATTATATAAAATGGAGTCAACTGATTGGACAGAGGCTCTTTAATGAAAACAACACAAAAGGCTGCATCTGATATTAATGAACTAAAATGTTTTCAATAAATATGCTACAATCCAACCTTTAGAGTTACAGCTTTAATTAGGTTTGATCGTCCTAGTAGTTGACTGGTCACGATGTCCGACCAAAAATTACAACAAATAAAAGAAGGAATATTATAAAGCCTACTAAATCAGTGAAATCTGCACCAGATTTTCAGCGTGTTCTATAAATATATCTTCATCAAAAATAGAAATTGAAAGATATAAATATAAGAAATAGTTAGGTTTATATGTGGTGTGATGGAAAAAGAGGGACAAAGTGCCAAAGGATGGAAAGGGTGGAGAAGCCAGGGTCATATGTTAAAACAGGGTAGGATTGAGGAAATCGGGGGCCCTGGGCAAAAACAGGCATGGGGCCCTCTCAGTTGAGAAGACAACACATAAAACACACCCATTAAGGCTTATTTATACTTTGAAACCAGGTAGTCTGCGCCCCCTCAGCAGACACTCTGATGCACCTCTCCAAAATTGAGGTGACCGCAGACAGGAGGCCTCTGTTTGCTCAAATCTACATCGGCTCTACTCATGTGTATTTCCTGTTTGGTACCTTACCGGCCTGGCTGGTTTGTAGGAAATCGCCATTGTGGAAAACGACTTGTGAAGTTGGACCAGCTAGAATAGCCATCTGCACAAGAACACTGGGACCCTTTTTCCACATGGATCCCCGCTCTTTTTCGCCCTCATGTCGCTCCATTGTTGCACAAATTTGCCCCCACTTCCTCACCGCCTTGGCCATATCTAGACCCACAGTGTCAGGATTTGGTTGTGGTTTGTTGACCCAAATGCAGAGGCAAGGAGGCAGAGGTGATTTTCTTGTGGGATTAATGAAAGGTTAAGTGAACACAGAGGCAGGAAATCCAAAAATCCAAACATAAAAAAACTAAGTCCAAACAAACCGGAAACCAGGAATCCAAAAAAACAAAAATCAAAACATGAAAACAAAGTCAAAACAAACCAGAAACCATGGAAACATCAGGGGGGATACTATCACGAGTAGGAAAGGCTCAGAGAGACGGAGTTTGAGGAAGGACTGAAACAAAGAGAGGGCTACCGAGCAGATTGGGAGCAGGTGTGAACAGAGCTGAAACGGAAAAGGAGCGAGGGAAAAGGGAGAACACAAGAGGGCAGCAGAGGGCAACAAATAAAAACCTGAGAACTGAAAAAAAAAAAACAGAAAACACCTCAAAATAAGAATGAAAACATTAAAACTAGAAAACATGGAACAAAGTAAAACAGAATACAAAAAAGAAAACAGAACAGAACCAAGACTATAACACACAGCTAGTTCCTGGGCTGAGACACATTTAATATTATACGCATTCTGATGGCATTTTTTGCAAAAGGGTTTTTATCAAAACCATTATTAATTTGCACACATAAGGAATAGTTGTTTATAACCATACATGCAAACAGGGTTTTATGTGGCCCCCAGGAACTTGGTGCCCTAGGCAACTGTCTTGTATTGCCTAATGGTAAATCTCCCCGTGTTTAAATAAAGTCAGACGTCACATGTTTGAATCTGGTATACCTATTTTTCCATTAACCTTTTTAATGTAGGATTTAAAATGATTAACCACTAAGCTTGAGTTCCTTCTGCAACTTAATGCAAACAACCTGCGTCCTGCAAAAAAAAACTTAATTTGAATTTTCAAAGTGTCTTTCATGCTCTAACTTTCTTCAGTTCAAACATCTGGAATGCTCTCCTGTCATGCGCCGAGCAGTGAGTCATGACTTTTAAACCCAGATGCGCGATGGAGATGCAAAAAGCATTACAAACGCGTCACTGTGATCAAAGAGTGTGTCAGAGGGGATGCGGTCACAGCATGGACAGCGCGAGGAAACACTGCTACGTGGAGGCGCTCCAGGCAGCGAAACGTGCATCGGAGAAGAAGGGCGCAGGTTTGGAGCAGACTCTCCGGATGGCGCAGCTCAGGTGGGACAGGAGGGAGCGGTCCCTGCTGGCTCAGGTGGCTGCGCTGCAGAGCGAGGCGAAGCTCTTCGCCCTGGCTTACCAGCAGAGGCTGCAGGGATACTTGCTGCATATAAGCAGCATCGCAGAAGAAATTGGCAGATATTGTGAGGTAGGCATAAAAGTGAGGAAGAAGTATGGATTAATTTTAGTTATTGCATTATTTATTTATTTACTTACATAAAAAGCAAAACTAAACAGGTGTCTTTTTGTTTGTTGAGCTAGAGGGATTCCAGGACACTTTCTGACATGCAGAGCCACGCATCCAATTCGACTTCAGCCAAGCTGCAGAAAGCTGTAGAGGGACTTAAGGTAAGAAGACTTTTGTTTGTTGTCTGTTTTTGCACACGTTTATCCAATGCTTCTGTATCTAAGACATCTTTTCAGACACTTCCCTGCTGCACAGACCTCTGCAATTTGTTTTCTCCTGTGACTCTGAGATCCCAATCTAAGGATCTCTATGATCTTTCCTCCTATCCAACTGTTTATTATAAGATGTGTTTTTTCCCCTAATCTCTTGCAGTAATCAGACTGTATATTTGAATTGGAGGCGGTGAATTCTTTTTACTGATCTGAAAAAAAAACAGTCCTTTGTTTAAACATTTGTCTGTAAGTTATGATCTTACAAAAACTTTATAGGCTCTCTTTGAAGGTTTGAAGGTTCTGATTTAGTTTCTCAGATATACTTTAATACTTTTAATACTACTGATGACACAAGTTTTAACACATCTGCTGTGACCAGGTTACAGCCTATGATTGGGATGTTTGAAGACTTCAGTGTTGTTCAGGATGTCCCTTGATATGACCAACAAAGAGGTATAAAAAGATAAAAGGTCAGGGAAAAGTATTGATGGCTGCTATTTAGTTTTGTACTGGAAACTAGGATTTAGAGGTGATTCAAAGGCACACATGATAAGATCATGAGCCTGATTACATGCTTGAGTTGCCAGCATGTAGTTTTATTCTTATGCTGCTCATAAATTGTCAGCTTAAATAAGCAATACCTTGATATGAGTGATTGATTACAGTAAATTTCCATGCAACCTTGTCCTGGTTTATCATAACAGCCATCCCCCCTCCGCACAAATAAAGAAAATAAACATTAATGTTTCTTTCAGGGACATGAGTTTGTAAGTTATGTTTCCTAATTTTGTTCTGAACTTGTTTTTGTGACTATCTAAAAGCTTGTTAGTATTTTAAAGCCAGTGATAGATGGAACAGGGGTAAAATCTATGATTTTTGGTTGTTGCAGTAATTTATGAACTCTTCCACTATGGGAGCCAAATCTAATATTAGCTTCTACTTCAGTAAGCAAAAAAAGTTTTTCCATTGTTATCCTCTGGCTGGGACCGGTGTTATATTTGGGTGGCTGTTGCGGGTGGATAACTTTAATTGTGGTAATGGTCACTTAAAGTGTTGCACTAATCGCCTACAGCATGCTGTGAGTGCAACAGGCTCACTTTTGATTAATGTGGAAAACTGGTCTCTTTGCTGCCAAAGTTTAGCAGTTAAACCCAGTATCTATTTTCAGCAATCCTTTTACTCGTCTGTAAACTCTTCTATGATGTATCTTTAATTGTTGCGTCCCTGCCTGCTGCTACCCAGATTGATTTTCCAGTTTTTGAGAAAGTAGGTTTGGAGTTCATAAGACGGAGCAGCAAAGTTCAGTGAAGACGTTTTTGGGCCGGAAAACAGAGCTGATGGTTGTCAGGATCCCAATCACAGTTATGGATCATCAAACTTTGCTTCCGATTCCTTGTACTCCAGCTTGGTTCCCAAAACCTAGAGATGATGAAGAAGAAAGTCCATGCTCATTTAAGGCCATTTCACAGAAGAAAACTAGTGACTGGACATTAGTTGGTCAACAAAGACAAAAATATTAAGGTTGGTCTTTTATAAAATTTGAACTTGGTAACCTTATTATTTTTATGCAGTTACTATAAACCTGAATTCAACTGTGAAATTTTTACTCTGTTTACAAATAATGAAATATTTAATTCTTAACTTTTATATGTGACCAATAGAAATTTCTGAATCCTGTTCAACAGAAAAACTGTATCTAGTCAGAAGAGGCAACTTAAATTGGAAAAAATAGAAAACAGACAAAAAGATTTATTAGCCGAAATCATTTTGGCTTCTACAATATTCTCATTAGCCTGCAAGAAATCTTAGTTTGCTTGGTATCTTCATAAGTTAGATTTTTTGCTTTGCACCAATATACAGACCATGGCTCTAAGGCATCTTTTAAAATGCGTGCGGTCCATGTCTTCTCCGTCATCAGTTGCACATAGTGCCGTTCAACAATAATGCGCGTTGTGTCCTCCAGCACCAGGGCACACCTTGGCCTTGGTGGAGTCAGTGTCAATGAGTGGTACATTATGATTTTTACACGTAACTGTTGCTTTAAACAAGATGGAAGGTATTAAAGGAAAAGTCCGGTCACACTCAGAATGCAATCTTCTGAAAGTACTTTAAGTATGAAATTATTACATACTTTTCAATAAATTATGTGTTTTTTAATTAAGGGTAATTTAATTTGAATGTGCTTTACTGGATTCTTTGTCAAAGAACACTACTGCCACTTTCCGCTTTGTGATGTCACGGTGCGGAAAGGTGAAATAACTAATTGGTTTTTTTTCACTAGTAGTTCCCATTGATTTTTCTTGTAAAGAGGGGAGAATGGCGCCAGGCTTTCCACACCGTGACGTCACTGCCAGAAGATGTCAAGAGTGAGGTGTTACTATATTTGGGCAAAAATCCCAGACTCAGTGATCGCGACGAAAATGTTTTTGGTTTTTTTGTATGTTTCAATAAAATTCATTAAAATCACCTTGAACGTAGTAGTTTTAGGTATAGATAATGATCCATTGGTTATTTCTTGCTGACCAAAAGTCTGACTGTATGCATTGTGCTGACTTTGTGATTTTATATTTTTAATTGAAAGCCAAGCTGTTGTGTATTTTGAATAATGTAAGAACTCTAGTAAATGAGAATAAGAAATTTCAAAATAAAATGTTCTTAACATGGTTTTATGTTTATAATTTAGCTACTTCGTGACCCAGCTTGGGATAAGTGTGACGGAAAATGGATGGATGCATGGATTTAGATACTCTTATACGCCTTTTTTTTTAACATGGCTTTCTAGAAGCTGTTCACTCAGAAAAAAAACACATTTTCTTGGGATTCAGAGTTTTTAAACATTAAATATAATTTTTAAAGGTAAGTAGGGCGAACGTAAAGGAGAAGATGACTTTCTTAATAGGGACTTTAATATGTCCTTGACCTGAGTTAAGTTGCCACTCCCATCTTCTTCAAATGAAACAAGATTGCTATCAAACTTTTGGTTGACAAATTTGTTTATGCAGCAGTCATTTTAAAGATTTAAAATTAAATATATTTCCATGTAGCTCAAAGATGTACTGATCTAGATGCTGCTTTGCGAACTGGCTTAAACAAGCTACAGAAGCTGAGTCAGGCCAACAGCCCTGCTGGGTTAAAAAGGGATCATGGAAGTAAGATACAGCTCCGTAATGGCAACAGGATTAGTCAGCCCTGCAAAAACATACAGCTCTTCGCTTGCCATGCCACTGTCCCATGTTTGTTTTAAAACCCGATACATACACGAATGAAACCACAGATGAGGTAGAGCCGTTCCACTGCTCCACTTGTCTGCAGCCAAAACCACATTCTTTCCACAGAGCTCAAAGGATTGGAAACAGAGCCGTCATGTATTTCAGAGACAGCTCCTATTATTCTTTATTTTTAGGGTTGAAAACAGTAAGCAGAAATGTGTGCTCACCCAGACCAATTTAGTGATGAAAAGGAAAATAGAGCAAGGGTGCTCATGTGTCAGTTTGATCAAAATCTAATTTTGTAAAATGGCAGCGCAGTTTAGTTTAGTTTGCCTCCATAACAAGCAAAGGGAATAAAGGCCAAACTTAGAACAAGGAAGCACAACTTTTGTAGGCCAATTAGAGATTGTGCATCCATAAGGTTCTAAAAGCCTTAAAACTGCAGAGTTTTTTGTTTGCTTACATTTAAGGCTTTATGCATGTTTGTAGAAATATTCGAATGGTAGTATTTTTTCTATGTTTGTCCATTGGAATAATTGTTGGAACATTATCTGATTCATAAAGATAGGATGATTCATTCACTTATAGGACGGATCCCGTCACGCGTTCTGTTCATAACCTTTATGGGCAGGATTTGTAGGCGCAGCCAATTACCAGAGGGGGTCTGGTTTGGAGACCAGCGGATTTCATCCCAGCTTTTTGCAGATGATGTGGTTCTGATTGCTCCATCCTGCCAAGATCTACAGAATGCGCCGGGGCGGTTTGCAGCCGAGTGTGAAGTGAATCAGCTCCTCCAAGTCCGAAGCCATGGTTCTCGACTGAAAAAAGTTGGCTTGTCCCCTTGAGGTTGGAGGAGAGTTCCTACCTCAAGTGGAGGAGTTCAAGTGTCTTAGGGTCTTGTTCATGAGGGAGGGAAGAATGGAGTGAGAGATTAATAGATTGATAGATCGGCGCGTCAGCTGCTATAATGCAGACACTGTACCCGATTGTTGTGGTAAAGTGAGAGAGCGGAGCAAAAAGATGTTCCAACCCTCACCCATGATCATGAAATCTGGATCAGGACTGAAAGAACGAGATCCCAGATACAAGCGGCTGAAATGAGTTTATTGACGGAAAAGGGATGGATGGATGGATGGATGGATGGATGGATGGATGGATGGATGGATGGATGGATGGATGGATGGATGGATGGATGGAGATGAAGTTGGGTTGGACAATAATTCAATATCAATATGTGTTGATATGTATGTATTATGTGTATTCTTTATTTATTATTATAACTTTATTCAGTAATGGTGATATGACAGTTTAAGACATTTCTAATACTTGAAAATGCATTACAGTCTATAATTAAAGAATTTGCTACTGACTGATGTGCCAGTTTTTATGTTGTCCGCATATTTTTACACATTATTTTAGAGGACTTTTAAAAGCTTGTTGAAATGTTTTTCGAAGTTTGTACAGAATTCTGTTGTGGGCATTCTTGGCAGTCTTTCTGAGGCTTATTTTTTTTGTTTATATTGATATTGTAATTAATCGATTAATTAACCGTATAGAACAAAATCGAGAAACAAATTGGGATACATGTTTTGGCTATATCATCCAGCTCTGAAACAAAGGTATGCTCTGTCATTCATCCCTTCGACTGCTCAGTGGTGCAGTGGGTAGCACTGCTGTCTTGCCGAAAGAAGGTTCTGGGTTTCCTGGCCTGGGGTCTTTCTGCATGGAGTTTGCATGTTC